TGCATGTTGCTGAATGCACAAGAGGGACAATACAAATTGGGAAGCTTAGGTTCTTGGGTTTGTATAGGGTTTTGGGGGTGACCAAGAGACGACACTCAACCAGTTCCAACTTCCAAGTGCACGCTAATCGTACACAAGCAGTCGATATGAGCTTGCTAATGATGTATGCGGGAACCTGCCGCAATAGAATAGCAGCGGCAGGTTCGCGGGAATATAACAGATTACGTGCCACGCTCACACTACCCACAGCACCCCACAGTACATCTCTCAGTAAAGCCAAATCCCTATCCAGCCTGTGTGGGCTATTGCAGAAACAGGGCACTTTGCAAGGGCCGTTGCGAAGTGGTCATAGACATGCGTCGTCAGCTCAAAGTGAATACGGTGTGTGAAGTTTCAACGGTGGTATATTCTTAACGTACTTCTCCAAAGTGACGCGTTATGTTTTGACCAGTCTGTATGCTGTAGCGGCTCTGATAAGCTTTGCTAGTCCGTATGCGTATGAAACCGTACAGCGCGCTTCTATAGTCAGCGAACGTAAATGTGGAACATGCACTCTGCACGTGTTTGAAGACGTACACTATGATCTTTTTAGTGTACGTGTTAGTGAGAGTACGAGCAAGTGGGGCCGAAATTAGATGGTTGTCCATAGGATCGCGGAAGGGAGCCTACATGGAGGGTGTATAGATATATATGCTAGTGCATATGTGTAGGTGTAGCTGCGTGTGGGTATAGCTGGCATGTATAGCGATATAAACTATGTACAGTCACGCACGCATGTGTATTCGGATTCATATAGACCAGGAGTCAATACCAATCGATATATTCTCCACACACAGGTGTAAATAGTTGTGTACATATATATATAAATGTATATGAAAATATGCTAACGTATACACGTGTGTACATAAACACATACACACATCACACACACATACACACACACGCACACGCACATGCACACACACGCACACGCACATGCACACACACACGCACACGCACATGCACACACACGCACACGCACATGCACACACACACGCACGCACACGCACACGCACACACACACACACATACACACACGTACACGCACACGCACACACACACACACACGTACACACAGAGATACACACAATCGCGCGTGCTCACTTTTGTATACAGATTTATGAGGCCAGAATTTACATCGTTTTGAGTTAAAAGCATATTGTGATGTACACAGGTACAATACACCTGAACTCAATCGCCACATTTAATACGCATGCTTGTATGGTTGGTACCATAAGGGCGATATCTTCCACCTCTGCTCGAATCTCTTAGCTCACACAACCTTTGCAGCTGAACATGTATATCAAATTTGAGCGAAACTCTTCTATGTACATGGCTTGCATATCTAAAACGTTTCGGAGATGATAGTATATTGGTATATAGCTGTACCGTATGCCGTTATCCACCACAACGATTTATGGGTCTAGATTGCTATCACACACTATTGTAATATGTATACATGATCTGCATACAGGCACACATCCGATTGTACAACGTGGTTCAGTATATAGAGCCGCCCTGACAAGCCTGTCATATAGACTTTACCCAGCAACGGAATTGGTCGTGATGCACGTGTACAATCGTATTGAAAAGTTAGCAACGTGTATGAGTTTTGCTACCAAAAACATACCTAAATGCCCAAGTATTCAAACGTATATGGCTATTTGCGGATAGTTCGACACAGCCCGTGTATTTATACAGTACACACAACTGAAATCGTTTAATTTGTCGCACAGTTCATTCAATCGGGTTGGTGGTACACATGAATTGCTGTGAACTTGAGAGCACTGGCGGGGCATGCGGTCGAATTCCTGCGTGCATCTCTCTGTATCAACTATACACGCCCACGTTTTAACCAACAACTGGACTCCAATGTGGAGTATAGTACTAGAGCAATCTGTAGGTACGATGACTCGTTGACAGCTGTGTAGTCCATAGCTTGCCTTCGCATACAACGTGTTCTAAGTCTTGGGCCAATGGACTCTATTTGGTTGCGTCCGCATAAGCGAGATCAATGTACACACCTGGATGCGTGTGGGCGATAAGCGTTACACCTTCTGGGAGAATTGCACACGGCCTGTAATCTCGAATGAATCTCGAATACCGCTGCAAGGAATGGGTCACGTTCCAACAACCGCGGCACAAGCGGGTTGACACATATATGACACATAGTTACATGACACCACCACTAGACATATACACTACACATGTGACGGAAATGATGGGCTCATGACTGTATCCGTTCACGGCTCTATGTGAGTGATTGTGTGTCTGTCGGGGTGTGTATACAGCCATAGTTTGTCAACAACCTACTCATATTCAGCTGTATCTAGATTCGGCCATCACAGTAACGTACAATCCTGGCTAGAAACTATTATAC